ATTCAAACTTGAAAAGGATCTTTCTAATTCTCGAAGAATGAGCCTCTGTAATCGAAACAGATGTCTTAGCAAAATTTGTATAATTTTTGCTTGCTAACTCAATCTATTAATGTTATATGATAGGTTAGGCACATAATGAAAATGCTAGAATGTTTGCATGTCAGCAGTATAAAAGCTTTGGGGTGGTGAGTGAGAGTTCTGAAATCCCATTAAATCAATTTGCAAGAAGAAATTAACATTGCTTGCAAAGTTCTACAAATAGCATTTCCATTATTTTAATTCATAGCTGATTAATTGGAGATCAATATGTTTAGAACAAAACAGAACCCTTGCAGAGCTATAAAAAAATTCAAACTCTCAATGACAGCTTCCAACACTTTGATGTGAAATGCATTACTTTTAGTTCAGGTGGTCAAAGTTTATAAGTTTACAGTCACCTATACACAACAAAAATAGTGATGATACATCGTACACGCTCACTACAGTACGAACCCAATTTTATCTGAGATTTTTCTTTCATGGCAGGTTACAGTGAAAAGCTTAAAACAAAAATAATATTGTCAAACCAGACCAGGTCAATTCACTGCCTGCAAGGAGGACCCTAATAATTGGACTTCATAGGAGAAATTTTAATTGCAAAGTTTTGAACAAAATTAGAAGGCATGCTTTTGAGTAAAATTGAGACAGATAACAACAATTTCATTCACAGAATACATCATATACAAGCAAAAGAAGTCAACTTGATGCTTATTCATCCATCCTTTATAGTTCTCAAATGTTTTCACTTATCCCTTGTTTGTCCAATTTCAATGAAAAGAAGCCTATGTTTTCTTATTGGTTATTCTCCTAATGTATATTTTAAGAAAGGGCCGAAAGGCTCTCACATCTCAAACTTAACACCCTATTTTCCTTCTCCCAAAATCTAAGATTAGAAAAGAACAAAGAAATAAATACTACTATACATATTGAACATATGAGTCCGCCAACATTTCTTCATATCCAGAACCAAATAAAGAATTAAGGTTGTGGTCTTAACATTTTATGACATGAAGCCTTTTGTGCATATTATGTTTATTCAAGCTATACATCATAGAATTGAAGGTGCATACCAGCTGTGTTTTCATCTTCAAGGTCAATTTCTTGTCGAAGGGCTGCCTCTTCATTCCTGAGCTCAGTAGGAATCGGTTTACCCTCTGTCCATAAGCAAATAAATAAATTAAAACTGTTAGCAATCTACACATAGATTTGACAATTTTTATTTTTATTTTATTTTTTTGCTTTATGTAAAAATAATTGTAACCTTGATTAGTAATTTTTATTTTTCTAATTAACAGTTATTTTACCTTCCAAAGCTTCTCTGATTTTCCGCTTCTTTTCGTAGAGCAAACGCTCTTTGCCTTCCAAGCTTTTCCTGTAGAGATACTCCCTCCTTAGCCTTACGTTTCTTTTCAACATGATCTCAAACACCCAGAAATTATCTCTGGTTCAACTCCGACTTCACTGACTGAATAACCCAAAAAATTAACAATAAATCAAGAATTTCACGACCATTCAAGTAAATTCTTACTTCAATACACATACAGACATATATACCTGCGAGAGGTTGGGCGGTGGGTGAAAGAGTTTTAATACATTAGAACGACCAAAGCAGAGAGAAGGGTTTTGTTAGGGTTTTTGTTGAGAGGGTGTTTCAGCTTTCGTCCCTGTATTTTTCTTAATATAAAATAGAGCACCATGGAAAATTGAAATTTAAAATTTTCCCCAGTTTTGTTTGTCATTCACATCTCGCCATATATGATATATCGAAGGTAAAAGTAATAAATCCTAGTCGCACATAAATATAATTTTGATGTTTTTATTCTTCTTTCGTTACAGTTTCAATTAATAACTTGTACTTCACAGAATATGCAAAAAGACTATAAAGTCCCCATTTGACCTCCATTATTTTCCATTAATTCTCATTTTGCAACCCTCTCATGTTTTGCTATAGTATCCATGACAAGCACACGTATGTCAGAAAAGAATAAATTCCATCCAACCGTTGGCATTCAAATGGACTATTAGGCCCTGGTTTTTTTTTAATGAAAAATGACATAAATAGAGGCAATAATGAAAAATTGTATTTATAGTAGTGGGACGCAAATAATGCAATCCAAATGATTGCGAAGTAGACAAATTGAACATCAATCATAGTAGAAGGTGAGCCCGAGTTTGTTGAAAAGGTGAGCACCATAAAATGAGAATTAATGACAAATAATGGGAACCAAATGGAGGCAAAATATAATTAGAAAAGTATTCGAGAATAATAAGTGGAATGTGAGATACACCATTTTTGCATTTACGATTGTATTTTTGGGACTCCTGGTCTTAAGTAACTTAGAGTCCGTTTGATTGTCAATATTTTTCGTAGAAATGTATTTTTTCCACCTAATTTTCTACTTTTATGCTGTTTGATTGAAATTTTTTCCATATAAAATATTTTTCTACTTTTGGTCACATGAGAGAGATGAATTTATTTTTCAAGTAAGTCACTCTTCTCTTATCTACCCATCAATAAATATTGTACAAGTATAATAATTTCTACGTTTAAAACTAAAGCAATCAAACACATTTAATTAATAATATTCATAAAAATGATTTCTAGGCAATTGAATTGCCTTTAATTAATTTTCTTTCCACGCAAATTTCACGCTCGCAATCAAACGCACTCTTAAAGTTGTTTGCTCATATTTGAGAACTTATGGATGGTGGTGTATAGATCAGGGGTGCATCCAGAAATTTAGGATATAGGGGC